GGAGCATCCATGAGGACGCGCTGAAGCTTAGATGCATACGAAGCCGGTCCCCATTTTGGGCTTGTCTCTCGACGGACATGTAGAGCTGGCGAGGTCCGGAGGCGGTGCTGCGCTGGCCATCGTCATGGAGTTGCAGCCCGACCGGACACGGATTCTATTGCAATAGAGAGCTTGTCGAAGAAACACCATGATGTCTCTTGTCTGACCGTGCACTTGTCCTACTCATGACATTTCCACAAGACGTAGCCGCGCACACGACGGCAGAGATGAAAAGAAAGATTGGCCACGTGGGACATGACGCTCGGGCGGTGTGCACGTTCTTCGAGTAGATTTGCGTACTCTGTCAAACACGATGTTGAGTTGATGCCATTGGCTGTTTTTTGACAAGATATATTTTTGATCGTGTACCTGCGTCAAGCAGTCATCTCAGTCGCGTGGCGCCATGGTTCCCCATGTGTGCTCTCGCTGATCTGCGCAACGAGTTTCCATCCTCTCGGTGTGACGACTTTTATGCTTTGGCGGTGGGAGCTGGTCAGGGCGGATTGACTGGATTGGGGCCAGAGCTCGGATTGATGCGAGGTGAATGATAGCGAAGCTGGTGTGCGGCACAGTTTGTCGAGATTCGAGAGCGACGATTCCAGCATCTGAGGGTCCCTCGGTGCCAAGCTCAAGTTGGTCGCTGGGCGCCTCGGATCTTCCGGCTGGCGCTTTCAGGGCTGGAGTTGTACACGAGACCCTGGGAGCCGGCCGTAGGGGTCGAGGGAAAAAGACCGACGGACGAGTCAGGGTCGATGGGCAATGGCAAGCACTGACCTGAGTCTGTGTAAGGCTTCGATGATCTCTGGCGCGGCGTTGGGTCTTGGGGCCGAGTTGTGAGCGGAGGAGAGGAGTTGACGTCAAAAGATTTTCCCACGCAACGGCCATGACTTCCCGTCTTCAACCTCTGCTCCCCACGATGTTCAGCTCTTCGGACGCACGACCAGGCCCACCAACTCGCATGGGTAAGGCCCTGGGGTCCATCACATCTCTCCGCTCAATCACTGGACGCCCGCCAACCTCTGTCAAATCACGCACGCAGGGCCTCCCGTATCGGGAGACTGGACGAATCCATGTCCGCCACCATTCGATCTAGCCACGCCTCTTTGGGAACATACTTTGCAATTTTTGTTCTCTCCACTTCACGAAGGTCGAATGCTCCCAACATCACTCGGTACATTTTGAGTGCTTACGCGTACGGACCTCTTGGCCCCATGCCCAACCGAAGCCTTGATGGACAGATCCCCCATTGCTAGGGCTCTTCGCCTCAATCTGGTCAAAGTAACGTCTCCACATGTTCAACGACCGAGCGTCCGTTCTATTCGGCTTCGTTTACTGAGCACCCCTGCTTCCATCCTGGAGATGCTGCCATTGGCGTTGCCTTTTAGACGGCGGTGCTCTCTCTTGCTCCTTTCGTGCGCCGTCTCCGTTGCCTCTCTTCCCTTCCGAGTAACTCTTTTCCGCTCCAATCCTTGTCTCCACATCTCTTCCACAGATTGACAGCTAGGCCAGAACTAGGCCCATCATAAAGCCCCGGCACGCCGCTGCCGCTTTGCTGTTCTGCACCGTACCGACAAAATGGGCTGGGATGCGGAGCACCAGGTGCTGGTCGAAGGCAGCATAGAATGGGCGGTTGCTTTGATCTTCTTTGTGGGCAGACTGTACGAATTTCGTCCTTTTGGTAGACGCTTCTAACTAGTTCTAGGTGGTCCCGGGTCATTACCACCGGTAGTTTCAAGCGTTTTGCGTGTACGTTCCCGAATGCTCCCAACACACACTGGCTAATTCGACAAAGCGGATGACTATGTCATGATGGTCACATTTGCTTGGTACACCGCCTTGTTGGTCCTCTTGAAGATTACCGCTCAGCACGGGAGCAATCTCGTTCCGGACAGCGAAGTCGCTCGCCTGCTGGCGGACCCTCGAGAAGTCAAAGATCGCATCTTTGGCTCCAAACTCACCATTGTCGTCGAGCAATGCATGTTACACACGCAATGGGGGAGCAAAGGTAGCATACCGTCTCCCTTTTGACGCCAATGCTAACCTCCTGTAGCCAGTCTGCTCATCCTCTACCACCGCATGACACGAGGTCTCCGTGAAAACATCTACACCAAAATCATCGCAGGCTACATTCTCTTTTCCTACCTCTTCATCCAAGTCACCTTCTTCGCTGCCTGGTGCCGGCCGTTCAGCCAATACTGGGCATTTCCAGCAAAGAACCCGCAGTGCAAAAACTATGGAATGTATCTGGTTGGAATTCTCGTCTTCAACGTCACTTCGGACCTGTTGCTCTTGGCCATACCAATCCCGCTCATTTGGCGGGCTAGCATGAAGAGGGGCAAAAAGGCCATGCTGTACGCTGTCTTCAGCCTTGGGGTCTGCAACATCATTGCCGCCGTGCTCAACAAGGTCTACAACTGGATACTGCCAGGGGTCCCGGTGTACATTATATGGTACGTCCGGGAAAGCAGCACGTGCATCTACGTCGCCAACGCGACATGCTGCTGGCCGTAAGTCATCCATTCACCTGCCCCTACTTTGCTGACGAGGACAGACTCTTCCGCCGCTGTCTGACCTTTCTCGGCTGCTCGCACTACTGGACCACGTCTCACGCCTCGACGCCGCACGCGCGCAAGCCCGACCCAAACCTCGACATCGCCGACTCCAACGTCCCGCGCTCCACGCGCATGCCGCCGCACGTCCGCTCCAGCGCCGGCGGCTCCCACGCCTCGACGCGCCTCTCGCGCACCATGCGCTCCTTCAAGGACAAGACGCTGCACAACCTGGCGTCCATCTCGACGGCCAGTCCCTCGGAGGAACGCATCTACGGCATCGACGACGGCGGCGAAAACGGCGGCCGCAGTGGCAGCGACAGTCGCAACTCGGACCGCTATGGCGGCGACCGCCCCGTGCCGCTCGAGATATGGCGGCACGTCGAGTACGAGATTGATCCGGGGGCGTCCGGCATGACGACGACCACAACGACGACCACGACGACGAGTGTGTCTGCGGGCCCGCCAACGGCGCCGCAGCAGGGCATCGGCGACGAGGAGGCCGTTGTGGGGCTCGACTTCAAGAAGCCGCCGTACTACAAGGAGCCGCCGCTGTACCTGGGCGACATGGGCGGGTGGACGGAGACGTGGGTCGAGACAGCGGCGGCGCCGGCGGCCGCGAGCAAGGCGCAGAGCAAGAAGAAGGGTGGCAGCAACGAGCTGGACGAGCAGAGCGCCAGCAGAAACGACTCCAAGGGCAGCAGCTCCGTGTCGACGTGGTTGAGTCGCAGTCGCAGTCGCAGTCGGAGTCGGAGTCGCAGTCGGTCGGGGAGTGGGTGAGATGTGTGGCGATATAGAGGGAGGCTAAAAGTGCTGCTGTTTTTGATGATGGGCATGAGATGAGACACGATACCCCCGGATTGCATTGCATGGCATATACATAGATTTAGAGGTAGACAGCGACGTACATGAAGCATTTGTTTGATTTGATCTTGCATTCATCAACGCATCCTATATTCCCCTGAACCACATGCCTTCTTTTGATCTTCTTCTCTCCCTCTTCTCTCGGCGAGTCTACAGAAAAGCAAACCGCAGCCATCAGTCAGTTTCAACAACTTCACAAGCCTCACCCTCCACTCCTCGCCCCAACTCCCCGCCGCCATCTCTCCCATAGTGATCCGAAAACGACATCTCGCCTCGCCTACACGCTTTACTTTCTCCTTGCTTTTGCTCTCCGTGCAGTACAGTACAGTACGTGCCCCATGCACACTTCCCTCTTCCCTCTCGTACGTACTGCTGTGCCGCGCCGCCGCAGTTCCTTCTCATCTCATCTCCATCTCATTTCCTCTTATCTCGGTCAGATTCGATTCGATTTACTCTGAGCGGCTGGGACGACGGCTCTGGGGTCTGTCGGCTATGCTGGTGGTATGAATACCCGAGAGCGATTGGTGTGGGTAGTTATGCAATGGGAGGTATTTATGGCAGAGGTATAAGCGGGACTGTCCGCGTATGGCTGGGGGAAGAGGACAGCAGCAGTTGTGGAGATCTCTGCGTCGCGCATCTGCTGTACCTTTTGCTATTTCGGCTTGCCCGAGTCCCGCGTGTGCGGCTACAAGCAAATGCTCGCAGGCATCGAAGAGAAAATAGCTGCAGAATTGAACACAGTTCCGAAAGCAGGGCCATGGTGGCGGATGACTGCTCCCCGGGCATGGCTGTAGTGACGGACAAAAGCTCTCCGGTGTAAGTGGCAGTGGATGGACGCTCCCTAATGCCGCCGCGTTGCTTGGAGGTCTCATCTCTTCGGCCATCCACTGGTGCCTCCGCCGACGCACCGCCATCACCACAGCCATGCAAAAGACGGACGCATGAAGAAGCAGACACACCACGCGTGGGACGCATGCATGGAACCAGCCACCAGCCAGCGCGGATGCCAGCAGCACGAACACCCCCGCGATACGAGGCGAAACAATGCGAAGTGATGCATGCAAGCGACATGACAGACGCATGGAAGAACGCCACCGCTTACACCCCTGCCAGGCTGAAATGGACCCGGGTCCAGTCTGCGGCAAAGCGAGGTGAGTGCAGCGAAGCCGAGGGGTTAGGAGTAATCGAGGGATGATGGACGCGCGCGTGCTGCGGGCGTGGAAAATTCCATGTCACGATCCTTCCATGCAGGGGACGGCGATGGTGGTGGCGTCGGCCAGGGGACCGAGCATCCGATGCGGTTTCCAGCGTTTGTTGCACTCCGATTGGAGCGATTTCGCCGGGGGGTTCTTTGGGGGCTGGCGACATCGGCGGGCTGGGCTGCGTGGTGCGTAATCTGTTGAGTTTGGGTTGGAATGTTGGCTGTCTGTCTACTTGATGTTTCTGTGGTAAAACGAGTGAGCTGTTCCAAACTTACCCAGAGAATAGCGGAGGGGGGGCAAAAAAGGAGTTGTTTGAGGAGAGCGAGCTATTCAGGGGCAAAAGAAATGCTCCCACTCAGATTTGAACTGAGGACCTCGGCATGACTGATATTGATCAGATACTAGTGCCGCGCTCTACCAACTGAGCCATAGGAGCTGGATAACCCGAATTTGAAACAACTACTTCAACTCCTAGACCGGATTGATGCGGAGGTGGTGGCAAACATAAATTATACATAACAAAATTGTGGGTGGTCCCTGTGCTCGCATCAGCGCAGTGGACTGACCCGGCGACAGGTTTAACTCCAAATGACCAAGCAAACCGAAGCAGTAGAACTTTGGCGTTCGAGTTGGCCACAATTCCAGTTGAAAGGGTAGAGCGACATTGGATTTGGTGTCTTCAGTCTAATTGGAATCCAGGAATGCTTGTAAGTAGCAGTCCATTCGACAGAAATCCGGCACCATCAGGGGATGATGAAGCGACAGATGCGAAACTGGTCCAGTCCAGAAAACAAGACGAGCACTGAGTTACTCATGCTCAGAGTGGGGTCCTTACCTGGATGACTATCCACGGAAGTAGTCAAAGAAGCTTGGTAATGGATGGGGCGTTGAATCTTTCGCGGACTGTTCGGAGGACGGAGCATCCCAAGCGAGATTCTTGACAGGAATTTGAATCGTTAAACAGATGAAGACGGGAAGCATTCGAGTGCTTTGCAGGTGTCCAGATTGGAGCATTCGATAGTTGACATTTCCACACGCCAAGTTGCCGTGAAGAAGGCCTCGCCCCGAGTCTCTATGACTTTGAGGGCGGTTGCATATTCCAGCTCCCAACGCTTGTGTAGGTATAGCGGTCAGTCGCCGCGATTGAATAATCCCAGAGAAAATGATCGAATTGGAAAAGCACATTGTGGACGCCAGACAGTCGATTTGTTTTAATTTCTCGTTGAATCGTCTCGTCTCGCGACGGCGGATCTTGCCTCGCAGACTTGTATCAAGTCGACATACACTCGGCGCCCAAATCCGCTCCGTACTCTACCCAAAATCACGTCTATTTCTCCCAGGCAGGATGAACGGTGTTCGGGGTCGCCGCAAACGTCGGCTGGATGAAGCTGCGCAAAAGGTTAGCACCTCGTTCGAAATTCTCCAACGGAAACGTACCGGTCAGAGTGGTAGACCTTGATTTCCTTGCCCAACAGCTCCTTCTCGCGCGCCTTCTCCGCGTAGTGCCGCCTCACCATGTCGCGGTCGGCCTCGGCCTGCAGCACCGGCATCAGGTGGATGCGGGCCCACATCTTCTCGCGGGCAAGCTCACTGCACAAGAGCATCAGCCATAACACAGACACAAGTCACCATGCCGTCGAGTCTCATTGCTTGTCCAAACCTCTCCACAGTCAAGCCATAGAACCTTACTTTTTCTCCCTGATTCCGCGACCCATCTGATACCATCCGTAGCCCATGGCGACGCCGACGGCGAGCAGGTACCAGCGAGTAGCAAACGGGCGGGCGGGTATGTTGCGCTTGTATTGGACCTGCTCATAGCCGCCCTTGGGGGGCAAGTCCTGGGGCATTGTGCCGGTAGGAGGGTGTGATTGAGGTGGATGAAAGAGCGGCTTCGTCGCCTGGGGAGAGCTGTGGTGGATGATGTGGAGAGAGGATGGACGTGGGGATGTCCGTGGGCTGATTGTGAGCGCTGTGAGAGGTCGGTGGATGGGGGTTCCTGGAGACCGGGGTGCGGAGGACCGCGGTTCACCCGGCCGGCATCTTTTTTCGAGGGAGCTCCACTCCACCTTCGACTTTCCTCCACCGACACCCAGCAACGATGGCCGACGACGAGAGACCCAGCAAGATCCAAAAGAGGGAGCACGACTCTCCGGAAAGCGAGGCTGCATTCGCTCCCTCTGAGCAGCCTCAACCCAGCAGCGAAGCTCAACCCGAGATGGACGTCGACGCGGAAGAAGCCAACGACGCCACCACCGCGGACCCCTCCAAGCCGGGCCCACCGCCGGGCATGACCAAGTCAGCATGGAAGAAGCTCAGACGGCAACAAGAGTGGGAAGCAGGGCGCGAACAGCGCAAAGTGGTGCGGCGCGAAAAGGCCAAGGCGCGCAAGCAGCGGAAGCGCGACGAATACGCAGCACAGCGCGCCAATGGCGAGGCAGATGACGCAGAAGGCTCCGCGCCGCCGCGGCTGCATCCTCACAAGAAGGAGCGACAGGCGTTGGAGAAGGCGCGCAACCAGCGCGCCACGCAGGTCCCGGTGACCATTGTCTTTGACTGCAGCTTTGACGACCTCATGATGGACAAGGAGCTGAAGTCGCTCGGGCAGCAGATTACGCGCGCGTACTCGGACAATCGCAGCGCCCGGTACCGCGCACACCTGGCCGTATCGAGTTTTGGCGGGAAGCTGAAGGAGCGGTTCGACGGCGTGTTGGGCGGACACTACAAGGCGTGGAAAGGGTTCCGCGTGTGCGAGGAAGACTATGTGGAAGTGGGGGAGCAAGCAAAGCAATGGATGGCAGATCCAAAGACGGGCGGAGCGGTGGAGGGCGCGCTGAAGGGAACGACCGAGGACGGCAGCGAGAAGCCAGCAGCAAACGAGGACGCGCCACAAGCAGACGGCGACGCGCTCGCATCCCAAGGCGAAACCATCTACCTCTCCTCCGAAGGCACCGAAACCCTCCACACACTCAAACCGCACCACACATACATCATCGGCGGGCTGGTCGACAAGAACCGCTACAAGGGCCTCTGCCACAAGCGGGCGACGGAGCGCGGCATCAAGACGGCCAAGCTGCCCATTGGCGAGTTTCTGCAGATGAACAGCCGCGCCGTGCTCGCGACCAACCACGTCAACGAGATCATGTTGCGCTGGCTCGAGTGCGGCGACTGGGGCGAGGCGTTTATGCAGGTCATTCCCAAGCGCAAGGGCGGCCAGTTGCGGAGTACCGGCGAGGAGGACGACGCGGAGGCAGAGCCCGATGCTGATGAGGAGGCGAAGGAGAAGGGCGGGCCCGCGCTGCAGGAGAAAATTGATGCTGGTGAGGAGGCGATGGGGAACGAGGAGGGTGATCCCGCTGCGCCTGAGCGTGCGAAGGATGTCGAAGCAGCATAGATCGGTCAGGAGCTGAATCTTTCCAATCATATCCGTCATCCAGCTACTTTAGCCAGCCAGCCGATCATACCTCTCGCAACAGACATTACTGAAAACATCAACGACGCAGGCACAATGACGAAGCAACATTGGTTATCCAACAAGAAGCACTTCCACAGCATCACGTTACCCTGTCACAGTAGAAAAGGCGCCAAGCGGACAAGTGCGAAGAGCTTTAGTTGCCATCACAAGTAAGATAGATATGTCATCTTAGCTACCGTACATAAGTAGCCAGGCGTCAAGACGGCGAGCTCGACGGCAGGCAAGGCAAATTCGACTGGATGGGACGAAAAAAAGTACAAGCCGATCAACCCCGATGATACTGAATCCCTCCCCTAACGCCCAAGACCAAATCTTACACCAAATCCTGAAACACCGGGCCTTAATGCCCAGCCCAGCCAGCTTGCCGTCATGGCGTGCACGACTTGCATGCGTGCGTGCAGGCAGCAGAAACGCCAACAGGGGGGAAGGAGGAGAAGGAGAAAAAGAAGAGAAGGCAAAGATGAAAACGAAAAAGTGGAATGGAAGGGGAAGAGCAGAAGGAGAAGAAGAAGAAGAAGAAGAATAAGGGGTATGATATCAGAGCCCAAAGATGGAGAAAAATCACATACGTCTCTGCTGCTGCTGCGGTGATCTGCTTGGCTGCCCGTCCGTCCCCGTCCATCTGTGTTGCGCCCGCTGCCAGTCCGTCCTTGCTTATTGTCCTGCGAGCGCCCTTCGAATGATCAAAACAAACGCCTAGATATGCTGTGCCAACTGCGCTTGCGCCGTTCAGATATGTGTGTGATAGGAGGGTACGGTAGGACGCTTCCGTGATGACTATCGCTGGCTAAACAAATAAAAGAGAAAAGTCTCCAAATGAGATGGTTAGAAAGGGAGAAGAGAAGATGATTGTGGGGTTGTGAGATGATGATGATATTAGATGCCAATGTACCACAGCTCGACGCCCAAGACGCCGAACTTGCTGCCCTCGTCGCTGAGCGGCTCATTGCCAAACGTCGGACACGAATCCGAGACGCCGTTTTCGAGATTGTCGTCGAGCCAGAGGCCGTAGTGGCCGTCACTGCACGCGTCGAGTCAGCACTTCCAATCCCTGTTACGTCATGGGGGACTGCTGCTTACCCTCCTCCTATGCTCAAAAACCCCTGCTCGCAGAAAATCATGTAGTCGTTGACGCCGCTGTACGGAAACGCCTTGAAGCGTATGCGCTCGGGCGTGCTGGTGCCGCTGCCGTCCAGACTGCCCGGCCCGCTGCCGTTGAGGTGTTGTTTGGGCTGGACCACGCTCGTCATGCGGACCGCGTTTGTCGTGTCGGCGCTGGGCGGCGGGGGCAGGCTGGCTAGGGTTGGTAGTGAGGGCAAGACGTGCGCGCGCCAGAGGAAGCACTCGCCCGTCCCGTAGAAGTGTGGTGATGGGTGCGGCGGGTCTGACAGGTACGCGCCGAAGACGCCGCCGCCGCCGTCGCGCACCACCAGCACGTAGCCGCCCCGTTTGCCCCGCAGCTCGGATACGGATTGGTACAGCGTTGATAGGCTCACGCCGTCTTGTTCGAGCGAGTATACCAGCCGCCAGTCTTCGACGAGCTGGAGCCGTGGTGGGACGAGCAACCGGATTTCCTCGGCGAGCTGGCGCGAGAGCAGGCGGCTGCGTTCGCGTGTTGTGTCACTCCAGCCAGACAGCGAGAGCGGGGTCAAGGGCGGTGGCTGAAAGGGCGAGATGTTGCGCCGTGGCGGGGTGTAGAGGCCGGGGATGGTCGAGGCGTTGGGCTGGAGGCCGCCGTTGGTGTTGTGGCCGCGGGGCGCGGTTGGGTCGGTGCTGATGCGCCGGAGGAGGCCTGTCACGGTCTTGGAGACGGGGTACATGAAGAACGAGGCGGCGGAGAAGACGTCGGGAGGGTGGAAGGCGAGGGGCAGGGCGGAGGTTGAGCTGGCCGGGGTCGATTCGGCGGGAGATGTCGAGGGGTGTGCAAGGTGGTCTCGGTCGTATTCGTCGTCGTCGTCGTCGTC